ACTTCGCTGTAAACGAACCAGGCTTAAAGTGCTTATGTCACAAAAACTTTTTTTTGATATTTGGTAGAGGACAAAAAGTTAGTTAATAGGTTCTTTAACATTTTTCGGTTTTCTCTTTTCATTCGCGAGATATGAGGTTCTAAACCTTGAAAAATTGGCTTTTAGCGAAACATTGTCGCGCCCGGAAAAGGGTCTGGGGCGAGAGCCGTGTGACGTAGCTTAAGGGACGGAAGTTCGAATTCACATGTGAAGGAGTACTAAAAAGCTATTGGGAAAACATATATTTTCCAGCATTCATGGTTCTCAATGTGACTCAGAATACAATTATATTCCTGGGTATATATACAGGATGAATTAAATGATACCAGTCACGAAATTGGAACTCTAGAAGCAGTTGATAGCGAAATTTTAGGCGATAATGATGCATATAATAGCATATTGCCTTTATGCCGGTGGAGCCGCTAGCAAGCCAAGAATGCTACGCGCAACATCTAAAACCATGCGCAACACAAGGAACAAAACGAGATGCTAGAACGAAGATTAGACGGCCTTAAAGATATTAAATCATGGTGAGCGTAAACATAGATTTATTTAACATTTTAACGTAAAATAAGTATCTCTGGCTGATATATTTTTGATACGGCATCAGTCATATCACTTTCCTCACCTGTATCATATTTCGCAAGTGTAAATGCGGCAATTGTGTGATAATACATATACACACGAAGCTTGGTGCTGTCAGGAGATGGAATCTTGTAAATGTGGGGAAGTTCTGAAGGATAACTTGGTTTAAGAAGATGTACCACAGCCACCGTGCTGTTACTGCTGTATCATTCTACACTCGGGATTCAGACCTATTTGCTTGGAAAAATGGGCTCTAAGAAAACTTGCGAGAAAATACAATCGTTTAATCGTTCGTATTAAATAAACGTGATCACAGATAAACACTGTAGCCTCAAACAAGAATATATACGTAATTTGCTCTGAACCAGTCGGTTTATATTTTCTTTGATCTCGTGTCTTGTATTTTCTTGCGAAGGTGAGGGAAGTGTACATGGTTTAAACTCTTTGATGTGACTGATGCCGTATGAGCCCGTATCCCGCAAAATATATTAGTCAGAGATACTTATTTTACGTTAAAATGTTAAAATAAATCTTTCTTTACACTCCTCATAATTTAATATCTTCAAGGCCATCTAATCTTCGCTGTAGCATCTAGTTTTGTTGCTTGTGTTCTGCTGATTTTTTTAGATATCGTGCGTACCATTCTTCGCCTGCTAGCGGTTCATCGGCATAAAGGCATGCAT